AGAGGAGTTGACGCTACTACATGTCGATGGAGAGCAATCGTTCTTAAATCCGAAGCATTTACCTCCACTCTAGGACAAAAAGGCTCAGTTGACAGTTAAGGCTTAGGTGGATTTTTATATCAGAATCTAATTTTTGTGAAAAGTGCAGATAGAGGGTATCGTATGTAGGCTCTCGAAATACATACATGTACATATCGTCGCCTGATATTCAGAAGATTATCAAATCATTCAAAAATTCACTTTTGATCAATATGATGAATTTTGTCAAATTACAAGTCCCGAACCTAAATTGTTTTATGCAAAACTATCGTTTGTTAGTTACGGATTTTTCACGTTTCAGTATGCGTAGAAAGCAATGAAAAGGAGACAAGAGGAGAATGAGTAAATTTGCAACTAGCGGCGTCTTGCAACAATTTTGAACTGTGCATAGCCTCTTTATGTTTTTTTTTTCAATCCGAAATTAATCTAACCATTTAAAAGATATTAAAGGTCAAAGATTGAAGTAATTTAAGGAAAATAACTTTTTGTTATGAATTTTGTAACTTACTAAAAAATAATTATTGTCAAATATGTTTCAATTCTTTTTATAGGACATTTAATGCTCTACAAAAAAGATCTTAAACAGTTAATCGATTACTCCAACCATTTAGAAGATATTCGCATTAGAATCCCAATGCCTGATTTTAATAGTTTTTCAATAAATATTTCCAATTTTCCATTCAATTTATGAATTTTGACAATATTCATGAGAATTTAAGTTTATTTCAGTTTGCAAGTTAAGTCTTATCTTTTGATTGAGAATATACATATTTCTTTCGAATAAATTTTTTAACGATATTTTCTTTTTATAACTTTTATCACAATTTAGGATCGTCATTTAATATTTTTCAACGGGTTTATTAAAAATGTCATTCAAATTTCTATTTTCCACAAAATTTATAATTGAATATTTTTTTATATGTGGAATTTGAAGATTTACTTGTAATGCTTGACAAAAAACGAAGACCAGCATAATCTTCCCGTTAATATTAAGAGCTCAGATTTGGTAAGTACTTTCTAGAGGTACCTAGGAACTAGTTTTCGTGTGTCGGATCAAAAAAAAAAACTTGATTTTTTTTGACCCACCCTAGTACATACATACTTTTAACTACGAAAATACCCATCAACGAGCTCATCCATTTAAAGCAAATCTGCTTTGCTAGCAGCTGTTTATATTTCTGCAAACACTTAAGCTTTCTAATCAGTTGCAAGAGTTCAAATTCTGATAGTCCTAATTCCTATGTGATTTTTGAGATTTCCTGTTGGCAATGCCGTGAGGGTACAAACAAACGTAAACACACCTTACTACAAAACAGCAAAAGAGCAGCATTACATAAAGTGGAAATCAGATTTGTTTCTAACTAAACTTAAGGCTATGAAATGAATGGCACAACAGAGGTGACATACTCTATAAGGCGTGAATACCTCGCTACACTTACATACATTTGGGCAAATATACATATATGCGTACATAACCAAATCTGTGTGTGTACATGCAAAATCACGATAAATACACAGTGTTTGTTACGCACTTGCTTTTCATCTGATAAAATACAAACTTACTTACATACTTCGGTTCTTTTTACTTTTAATTTAACTCTGCTATTTTCTTGTAATTCAACCTATGCAATGTGATTAAAAAGAAAGATATAAATACAAATAATCTTTACCAGAAGTAGTAGCTGAGTCCTTTTGTTTGCACCAAATGATTCTCAAACTGGACACACACGCACAGATGACTGCACTTCACAAAATTCTTTGTGCAAATTTTCACTAAAATTGTTTCTTTGCACGCAATTTATTAACACCAGTGCACTGCCATATTATTTAAATTTAAGATTCTCCACTCCACGCTGAAAACTGCGCTAGTTTTCATAGAAAAATTCAAAATTTTGCAAAAAATCCATGAGAAATTTTTTCACTACCGCACAAGTTTGTTGCTGCGAAATTCAACATTTGTTTCGATTCCAATTTCTAAAAGGCTGAACCAGAGCGTATAGCTCAGTGTGAGAGTGAGCGAACTGTCAAAATAGTATTTGCAGAGAAACTCCAATCTGCTAGGGGTTGCTTATTGATGTTTTCGGAAAAGAAAACAACGTAACTGAGACCACAGCTGCTCCTGTCTTCCAACTCAGCCGTTTTGTTGTGTTTCGCATATTTCGAAGTTGCCACTCGAGTTTGATATACCACCGGCGCTCTTCCAACTGGCATTTGCATCTGACGTTTGCGACGCATGCGCTGGGGTGGTTTTAATGCCAGTCTCACTTTAAACCTGTTCCCTGTTTCATTCTCGCTTTGCTCACCTTACTACCTACATACATATTTTCACTGCCCTACAAAGGGTTGAAAAAACAATCAAGCAACCTTATTACCTGCGCTCTCAGCTCCACTCAAACTCCGCTGTTTCTAACTGTAACTCAGGAAGGCTGCCACCACCGCACACTTGATAATTCAAATACTCTTTTTTTTTGCCGTCCGTTCGCTTTGTAGTTCTTGCGCATGGTTTACGTTTATTGTCATTTTATTCCGCTGGAATTTGATACAATGCAGTTGATTTTAATTACAAATCTTCGATTTGATTTTTTGCCACCAATTCGAGGTGTAAAATTCAATGAGTTCCATTGTTGACTTCTGTCAAGTGCATTGCAGGCTGCATGGGAAGTGGGCGAGAACGTTGGATGAGGTTGAAATCATGAATATGCATGCGTTGGCAATAAAGTATTTTTATTACCCATCTGTTTGTAACAATTCCGTTAAGTGCTTTTTGCAATCACTGCAACTAACTAAGCGAAAACGAATAGCGATTAGTTTTGATAGAGTAGAAAGGGGGTAACCAGGAATTCAAATTGATTTGAAATACTAAAATGCCGATCTGATAAACTAAAATGCTGAGAAATAAACGGTTAACTTTAAAGGGGAGAAACGCCTGTACTCGTTGGTCTCTGGATAGTTTAGGTCCACAATTTGATCCGACAAGTGCCGCTGCACAGTGGTTCAAAATTGACATTTTGCGTTCACAATTCACTGGAGCCTTAATTTTTCGCTCAACTTGATTCATTTTGAGTCCGATTTTTGAATTTTTGTTTGTTCGTGCTAGTTTTTTTTTAGTGCCACCAGCAATTTAAGTGGAAATGATTTTTTATTTTCTGGTAATTTCCATATGAAATTCAAAAATTTAAAATCAGATTTCACTTAAATTGCTTTCATGAAATTGGCTGTTAGCCACTTACAAATTCCACTTTAATATGCTAAAATCTAATGATTTATAAAACTACATAGCACAAATTTTTCTAGAAATTAATTTTTTTTTACTTTTGGTGATTTTTTTTAATGTTTCAATTTTTTTTTTTGTGAAATTGTTTTCGTTTCGGTAGGACCCTACAACTGTTTTGAACTAGTTTTTATTATGTAACATTTATTAACTGGAACAGGAGAATCGATTTTCTTCAAAATTACAACTTTTTCTGCACTTTGCACTAAACAAATTTTAATACAAACAAACAAAACTACAAAAATCGGGCTAAACAGTTCTCTTGAAAGTTTTATTAGCTTTCATTAAAAAATGAATAAAAAAATAAAGGGCTGAAAATTTTATTTGTGCTCCGATTTGGTCACATACGAGATTTGTATTGGTAGCGATAAGGGCAATACTAGGTAATTCAAAAAAGAACCAGTGGCGCCGGAGTCGAGTAATTACTAAGCGTCCAATTAGAAAATGGTTCGTGAATGTCCGATTACACCGACGTGCTGGACCACTGAATATGTCGAATTTCCGTGTGCTCCAATTAGCCCAGTGGATTAGATTTGCCAATATTTACATTCGAATCTCGCCACTGCTGACACTTCGGTCACTAGGTCATCGTTCTTACTTTTAAAGGAGTTCGCTTCGGTCTTGTATCCTTCCGTTAGTCACCAAACTTTGTAGAACAATTTTCGGTTATTTCGGTGCGTGCGGGTCGCACCTTTTCTTTTCAATTCTCGGTAATGACTTTTGCTCGCAGAGAGCTGAGTGGCGAATCTGCTTCCATTGCGACTTTTCAACAACTATCCACAACAAAACGATCTGTTCAGTTTTCCGTTTATCGATCTGGTTGTTCCTTTATTTGTGCTGAAAGGTGATACCACAGGCTATTTTGGTCTTTAGCGCATACATATATATACCGACTGTAGGAGGAAAAATACCTTTCCTGTTGGTCCTCGCGTTCAAGTCGCCATGCATAGTTTTAACGCCATACTGATACTAAGTACAATCCAAAGGCGATCTTTTGACGTTCTTGGGCGTGGTCCCAGATAAACCTGATGTTGAAGAACGTCGTTCGTGCATCACTCTCGTCCCTAGGTGGTAATTTGACACTGATGACGGCTGTCACAGGACGGGAATCTGTGTGAATGCCGTTAATAGCCTGTCTTTGTAAAGTCCCGGGTCCGGCGGTAGTTGGACGTAGTGTTGGACCTCGTCCTTCACCTCAAGAAGATGCCTGCTGATGAGCCTAATTGGACGCTTCGTATCAAGAGACTGTCAGGTCAGGTGATAACGTCTGTGCACGATACTTCGAACTGCTTGGTGAGCATGATGTTATGCTGACTAGCTGAGAGCATTTGGGACCAATTTGGGACGTGATGATCTGGCGACATACAGTTGAAAAAATTTTTTTTTTTTTGACTTTGCCGAGGGTCGACCGCCGTTAGAAAAGACTTTCTCTAATTTAGGTGTTGCTCGGACCAGGGATCTAACCCAGGTGCTACGGAGTGGTAGTACGTATCACTCAGTCACAGTGGCCATTCACAATTGCTGAAGCATAAAATCTTACCACTTTTCAGGTGGAAAAAATCTTTAAAGCCTTCATTTTCAAAAGGCTGTACTTTCAAATCAAAACTGCCAATAAATATTTATAAAAAAAGAAATATATTTTTACTAATCCCATACAAACCAATATTTTTCTGCTACAATCAGGTTTACAATGGCCGGTAACTATTTTCAGAAAGCGCACTTGGTTGATTTTTTCAAGCGCTTTAGGACGAGCAAGTTGCAGCAACAGACAAGAACAATATGCAAGCGGGATGCGGAAGATAATAGAAGGTAAGCGATTTTTGTGTCAGAAAACTTAGTAACTCCAAAACTACTTCCTTGCGAATGTTCCAAGAATTCAAAAGGTGTCTGGTCTCTGGCAATACGTTGGCTGGAGTTACTATCGCAGACAAATACAGAAAACAATGGGACGATTATTCGAGGTGCCAGCGACAGGAAGACGTTCGCTGAGGCGAGCAAAGGTTGTGCCTGTTTTAGAAACCTTCTAAACATTCCAAAACAAAAAATCTCAACTTTCTATTAACTTTTAGAGAAATGTTTTGCAATTATTGGCTGACTCTAGAAAACAAATACAGGATATGTTTCAAAATGAACAGTCAATCAAGGCAAAACTTCAACCGAATCAACAGTCTCTTAGCATAGATTCAGTATCAATGATGGAGAAAGGTAAAATTCGAGAAACGGCGAGCGACCCACAGTTTAATCCGGAAAGACGAGCCAAAGATATTCTGTCGCAGTATAATCGGGATACCACATTCGAATACGAGCAATGCTTTACAGGAAGGGCAACGAATAACTTAATTTAAAAAACAAAAGGAATTTGCAGTTAGCAAGTAATCGGTCAAAGCTTAATAACGCAGTGGCACTGCGAACACCCGAAGCAGACGTGCCCAATGCTTTGATGTTAGCTGTAAAATCAAACGACGAGGTAATTAAAAGTCCACAGCCGCAAGAGGTAGTAAATGCATCTGGTAACTAAAAGGATTATTAGGCTGGCAGATTTTGTTTTCAAATACTATATTCCATTAATATATTTTTTAAGTTCTTTTTCCATATATGTAAAAGCTGTTATATATGTATATTTTTTTATTAAAACGCTAGTCCAACCCACGAACTTAAAAAAAGCGTTTATTTAAAATCCTAATAAAACTCTGTGTTTGCGAGTAGTTGGATTTGTTTAACTATTCCACATACGAATTTCTCATCAGCCTTGCGAAATTGGAATTCGATTCTTGCTGTAGCTGTTCATTGTCGTTGCAAGCCCGCTTGCTGCTTTCGTCGCATACTCACCTTAACCCTTGTACGATGTCGCCATCTTACCAATGTGTAAAAACCAAAAAGGAGGCCGTGATTCAGTTAATGAACGAAAGTTTTCAAAAATTTAACAATTATTTTATAAATTAAACCAAAAATATTTACAAATTAAATTTATTTTCGTAAACCCTGCGAATCCATTACCTTTTACAACATCTAATTTTGGTAGTACTTTATTTCTATTTTTTATTGGATTTTGCGAATGGCCGGTAGCAATACCGTTAAGGGAGTACTAAGTGAATTGGCAAAGCGTGTGCCCAAAAACCAGTTATCTCAGCTTAGGAACTTTCTGGAGCTACATGCGAAATATAACGAGTAAGTTTAACCCGACCTTGACCAAGAACCAAAAACCACGCTAAGCCATAGAATTTTAAAATGAATAGCCGCGTAAATAAATATCCAGCGAAGTTGCCGACAATCGATTGGGATTATTATCGCACGAACGTACGCATAGAAGCAATCAAAATGGTGGATGAATTCGAGAAAAAATACGAAGAGTTGAACAAAATATTCGATGACCGCGTTAAACTGGATACAACTAAGTACTTTGATGAGCTGGAAAAGCAGCGGGCGGCCATGCAGGTGCGCACGTAGGGTTTTATTTTTATAATATCTGTTCACTAAAAGCTCCACAACTTATGTAGGCGGAAGTTAATCAGTACATCGCCGAATCGAATGAACGCATCAAGGCGTATGAGGCCGAAATGGAGCGTCTTTCCCTCATGAAACCCTACTCCTCGATGACAATGGAGGAGTATATTAGCCTGCGACCGGAGCATGCCGATTATATACCGCACAGGCGCAAACCGCTCTTTTGGCCACATGACCCCGATGAGCAGATACCCGGACCGGTAGGAATAAAAAAACCAGACGACGACGATGGAAGTCATCCAGTTAAACCGAGTGATTTCAAAGGTAAAACGGAAGAATTTGTGTTCAACGCTGGCGACGCTAAAGCACAAAAACCTATGGTGATAGCCGATTCTGCAGAGCCCCAGCCAATACAGACGCAGCCAGTTGAAGTGAAAGCCACGAAAGCGCCACAGGAATCTAAGCTGTCACAACCTTGCGCCGAGTCAAAGAAACCGATGGTTGTTGAATGTGAAAGTAAAGACGCAAACAAGGATGTGCCTTCTAAAGTCAGTGAAGGTAAGAGGGGCGACACATGTGCACGCACACCCTATTACAATCCCTTCAGAAGCGAGGAGGAGAATATAAAGCAGGAAGAGGAGGCGTGTGATGAGTGCAAAGAAGAAGACCCTTGTAAAAGTGATAAACGTAGTCCCAAGACTCCTTATTACAACCCGTTCAAAGATAAAAAGGAGTAGAAATTTAAGAAAATTTACTTATTAAACAAATGGATGTGATAGACAGGACTTTTTAAAAATTAATGCTTTTGAAAAAATTTATTTTGTTAAACATGTGACTTTTAAATTATTAATAAACTGAGACTTTCTTTTCATAGAAAAATAGTTTGAGAAAAACTTTTAATCAGCCTTATCATAAATTTTCATTCCATGTAAACTCGTCCACATTTCGCTTTTGCAGCTCACGCATCGTATGTTGAATATTCACCAAGCGAAAGGGTTCACTTCGAATCATGTTCACACAATCATATACCGTGTTCACCTGTGAGATAACAGGTCGTTGCCGTACACTTTGACCCTAATTTTGTCGGACTCGTATTTAGTGTACGGCGTCTGTCCTTTCCAGGGTCGACGAAGACCCCTTAATCATCGTCAGTACAGCCTGTCTGTGGACTATTTACTCGGCCGCAATTTTAGTGCTCTGTAATTTAAGACGGGTAGTTCCTCTGGTTTCGCCGGCAGGCAGACTCTCCTTCTTATCCTCATCGAAATATCGTCGAAGTCAATTGCCTTCAGCTTCGCAAAAGGGTAGACTTCGACAAACGGCCGACGGTTGCCATGTGAAGTGTCTCAAACCTCTATTGATCACAACCAACGATCTTGAAATCACCTTGGTACTAGCCCACGCTCCCACGCAGGATGGCGGCTGCCTAGGGTTGCCCAGCAGCATCTTAGCAGCGATGCTCGCATATCAATGTCTGAGTGGAAAATCGACCTATCTCGGTAAGCAGTTCGAAAGTGCCCTATATACATAAGTAAGACCGCCCTAGCTCAGAATTTGGTTTGGTTGAATGCCCTATCTCTGAATTCGGTTCAAAGTCGCCCAATCTCAGTACATTTTAAATGTATCTTCAGCTGCGATCTTCCACTCAGCCGTCGATATTTGCTTGTTCTCCTCTCCATCTCCATCGTATTTCACGCTGTTTGTCCAAGCTTGTTAAAGCAGATGGTGAAGGTGTAGGCATTCGACGGCTGCCATGGCTTTAATCTGCATACTCTGACCCCCTTCCCCTGTAGCCGGTTAATTCCATGAATACAGCCCAACCCGACCAGGTTTCAAGCGGGCTTTTTTAAGCGACTGGGCTATTTAAAGACCCACAGCCTGACCGAAATTCATCCAGAAACGCTTTACTCCTTGGCACATCCCAAAAAAACTTACGCCATACTCAACACACAAAACTTTTGCTCGATTTTAGCTACGTACCGCTCCAAAGACACACAGGCTCACCACTCTGCAGTACCTATTTCCAGACGGCACCCTCGCGGGTGGTTTAGTCTAGGGTTTTCGGCGACTAAAAAATGGTAGCGGGAGAATGTCTTTTGGTTGAATTATTGTTTGTTCTATTAAAGTATATTATAGAATAGCTTAAATTTGGATAAAAAGCTTTATTTATCTTAAAGTAGCAATTCTCGTTTAACCTTATGGCAAAAAAGAAAGTTTGGAAAAATTGAAAGTGAAAACCGTAATATATAAGTATACTGTGTTGCATAGATTTGTGTATTTTATTTAGGTTAAGTGGCACATAAATCATTTCGAGGAGCCATTAGTTCATTTGTTTTGATATGGCATTGGCTTTGGGCTTTCTGGCTCTTCAATTATTTTTAAAATCTGAAGAAAGCATGTTGGCCAATCAGTTCTTAAGAATGACAAGGATCTTAGACATGCAGTTATAGTAATTCAAACTTATATTGAACATGCAAATATGTGAGTATGCTTATCAAACGGTAGTCGAAATCTGAATTCTGCTAGCAAATGCTCAACTCCTGTCTCTTTTGCTTCTAAACACCTCTGCCAAATCTCAGACCCATCATACGAGGAATGGCTTGCAGTAGAAATTTAGGAAGACAGATACCTACATTAATATCTACTTATGTATTTTCAAGCACAAATATGTGCATTCTCTGAAACTATGTACGTTTGTACTAATTTGTATAAGTCAGAACTAAAATATATTTGAACCGAGTCTGGCAGCTCGCCGTTTGGCATACATACCCTGCAGTGAAAGATTAAACCAGCCAGTAAAAATAAGAGTTTATGAACTGGTATGACCTAATGCGGTTGCCTATCAGTTAACCAATATCGAACAACTTATGCGATCAGAGAAATCTGCCCTTGAATTGCAAAAGCCAAAACTAAATAAATAAATAAATAAAACCCCAATGGCATATCAATTGGTTTTCTCACAACTTTCTCTAGTAAACTGTTACAATTTATACTGGTAGATGCTAACGCATAGCCGGACAATTGACATTTCGTAGGATTTTGCATTGTTACAGTAACTATTTTCTTGCATAAAAAAAAATACGGAAACGAGCTATTTGTGGTGAAAAGATTGTATTATTCTGCTGGTATTATTCTAGTTCTCAACTAGTAACTTTTCCTGCAGGGTACATGCATACATACACAATTAATGCGTTGGTGCTGTTGTTGCCTTTGTCGGCGAAAAGTTTCTTTGAGCGTACTTTAGCCGCAAGTAAAACTTTTCGTACTGACGTTAGCAATTAGTTTTATTTGAACATAAATTCCCGTTGTCAGGATTAATTTATGAGTGGTTAAGTACTGATTGTAAGCGTGTACACACACTTATATGTACATATGAACATAACTAGACAAGTGCACTGGCAAATCTACTAAATATTAGCGAAAGGTGTGAGTGTTTAAAAGCAAATTAAACCTTATGTTCTTAAATACATACATGCATATGTATTAGTGTGCATAACTAGCTGACAAAAGTAAGAAGCCGTTTGCGGATTTAAAGCTTTTCAGAAGTCAGTTACAACCATTTGACCTTAAGGCAATGATAGAGTTAAAAATGTACAACCAAATTCATAAAAAATAAAGAAGACTTTAACTGCTTTATAAATAGAAAATTTGTATGAAAATGTTACCTTATACTTTAAAGTTTCAGAGAATATCCGACTTTAATTAATTTTCCACTTAACTCCAAAAAATTATATTCAATAAATTGAATGTTTTGAATACTTTACACTAGGGCTGTGCGATTAATTGACTACTCAAAATTTTAATTAATCATAAAGTAAATAACTCATTCGATTAATTGGAAATTATGATTTCACAAAAGTTCAATTACTCGAGTAATCAAGATTTTTGATTAACCAAAAACAAAAATATTTGAGTAAGTTGCTTTATGATTAATCAACATTTCGAGTAAAATGAGTAATCAGCATTTAAACTCTTTACATATGTATAAAGTAGTTAAAGTTCCTTGATACTTTGAAAACAACGTTTCTGTTTTCAAAAATTAAAACAAAAAATTTTTTTCATATACAGAATGTAAAAAAGAAGATAAGCTTTTTCCAAAGCAAACTCTTTTAACGAGCAAAATTATTATTTTTGAGTAATCATATTTCAAGTAACTCGATTAAGCATCGTTTTGAGTAATCAAAATCTTGATTACTCGAGTAATTGATTAACCGAATAATTGATTAACCAACTTGCTCGAGTAATCGAATAATCGCACAGCCCTACTTTACACGTACCGAGTGTAATAGTATGAGTATTCGCTCTTCTGTGTAGTCTTTGTATCTTGTGTAGCTGGATGAGCATTCGAATGTTGTTGCAAGTGTAGGTACCCTGCAGGGAAACCTCGAACTAGTGAAGCAAATTTCTAGTTCCGTACAAGGTCTTTATCGCCAAAACCGAACGAGTCCGATAGTAACTATGTAGATCTCCAAGAGTTCAAAAGCAGCGAAATGTGGAACTTTTAAAAACTATTTTAGTTTACTTGTTAAAAATACATATGGCTAACTAAAATAGAAAATTGCTGCTAAGTCTAGTTTTTATCAAAAATTTTATTTTGATGCAAGAATGAAGAAAAATTTTCTAAAAGATCGAACTACCTATGTATTTTATTTCTAGCAATAGTAAGAGGATGCAGAACGCACTGGATCTCGTCTGTCGAATTTAGAACTAGTACGAAAAAGAGAGGCAGAGAGAGAGGCAGCAACAGCTAAAGGAATGTAAACATGTTTCAGAATGCTTGATTTGAATTAAATACATTCATTTAAACAAATTTTTCATAAAATTTCAACACATGTCTTTTGAAAATAACTTAAAATCGCTTCCATAGGAAAACCGAAAAGACTCTACTTGAAAAAATCATGTTAAGCTGCCTTTCTGTGTGAAACTAAATCAAGTGCAATATAGTCAAATATATGTATGTACCTAGAAGCATATCGATATACATCGGCAAATATATGCCACAGTTAATCTGCAGTAAATCAGAAACATCAGGCTGACAGTTTGCATACATCAAAGCAAACAAAATGGCGTTTAAGTAAAATCCTGCCAACTCACTTTTGTGTCACTTTAAAATCGATTAAAAGATAAGCCCTTCGTATCCGAGCGCTCGTACATACATACAAACATCCATCCGCCATGCCATCTATTCACCCGCTCAATATCTCTGCAGCAAACTGCCATGAAGCACTTAACGGTAAAATGTCACAACGAGTCTGCCTACCTTTTTTAATACACATAATTTTTAATACAAAACTATGTATACACATTAGGGTGGTCCAAAAACAGTAAAATCTGAATTGTAATGCTCTCATCCCCTAGGATTGTTCTATATCCAAAACAAAGTACACCGCTCAAAGCGCTTAAAGTTTTCCATGTATTTTTATATGGGAAAAATAAATTTTTTCGTGGAAATGGTATACAATTCTGGAAAATCAATATTTTCGATCGCAAACCTCTGGTTCTCTTCAGGAGACTTTCAATAATAATACCCAATTGTTGATTTGACCATTTTTTAATACTAACGATTTTCGGGTTTTTTGTGGATTTTTGGCGGACCTATAAATTATAGTTGCAATGGAAAAAATTGTTAAATAAACAATTGGGTTTTGTTATTGGGAATCTCCTGCAGATAAACCGAGTTTTCTGGTAAAAAAAATATTGATTTTTAACTATTCTGTACCATTTCTACGGAAAGTTGTTTTTTCCTCATATAAAATACATGGAAAACTTGGGGCGCTTTGAGCGACTCTAAATATTTTTTTGATTCCAAAGGGGTGAGAGCATGAAAATTCCGACTTTTCTTTTTCACATGCACTTTTGGACCACCCTAATACACATACTATGTACATATATGTACGTAGCTTGCTGCTTGACGGTTCGACGGCTCGCTTCAATGGAATTTATGTGTGAAAGTTGGTGCTTTGTTGAGCGTTTTGTTAGCCGCTTTGTTGTTGGTTACGCTTGAATGTGGCGTGGGAGCTCATAAAAGGGATTACACTTTGGGGTACCAGCGTAGTACTCACGGGCGTATGCACACAAGTATAAATTGAATACAGAGTATGTTCATATATATGTGATTGCCATGAGCGTAGCCAGGTAGGGGCAGGGGGGACTCCAGCCTCCCCCCCTAACTTTAAAACTTTCCTTATATATATATATAAAATAGTACCCTGAAATGACAGCTTAAAAGGGTCGAGCCCCCCCCTAAATTTCATTCTGGCTACGCCGATGGTGATTGCACTTATTTGGTAGGGGCCAGCAAGCGAACTGATTTGAACCAAAATTTCCGCCAACACACTTACACATACATGTATACACATACATATGTATATGTTTGTCGGTGTGTGTGTGTACGGCTTACATCCACTTAAGCACAAAAGCGCCAATTTCGAGCTCCTCTCAAAAGGTGTTAGTATGTAGTACATACATACATATATACATACAATTTTTTTTATTTGCTATGCAAAGCATTGTGGCTGCTTGCCTCTTTTTTGTTGTAACTGTCGCTTTTGTTATTAAATGACAACAGGTGTTTTTCTTGTTGGTGGGATGGCGCCTTTTGGTGTTGCTAGCGTTTATTTCATTGGAAAATTGAATTTGTGACAAAATTGAATTTCGGCGGATCCCAAGTAAAGGCAACCAAAACCCGTCTGCAAACAAGAGCAAACAAAAGCTTTGAAAAATGTTTATGCCGTTGTAAGCAAATCACGCAGCAGGTGTGAAGTAAAAGTTATGCTTTCCCTATCCTACTTAGATTCGTTTTTCCAACTTCAAAGATTTATATTGAAGTGTAGGTTTTTTTTGTAAAGAAAATATGTGTATATGTATGTGTGCGAACATATCGCGTAGTCCCTTTTTACCGAACAAAATAATTTTTTCTTGCCCCGAAGTTGATTTTTGGCTGAAAAGGATGTCATATCTAAGATGCTCGATTCGCCGGAGAAGAAGGCTTTTCACCCGAACTGAGGTCGAAAACGAGGTTTGGATCCGAGTGATCTTTTTAACGTCTTTTGTATTTTTTAAATACTTTTGTATTTAAAGTACTTGTTTGAGTACTAAATACGCATAAAGTAAATATTTACAGATGCTTCAATACTAAATTAAAAAGTATTGTGTTATCAAATTAATTAATGTTGATGTTCACATTTGCCTGGTTATCAGATTATCTGGGTAAAAATTATTATTGTATACATAAAGTGTATTTTATTGTTGCAAACTGAATTAAAAAAATAACCACATAACTAAGATAACCAGATAACCAGACAAGTAGGAACACCTATATTGTTTCGATCGGAGCTTGAATTTTTGTGTACCTTTTGTAAAGTTAATTCAGCAAATATATTAAAACTTGTTAAAAAAATTCACCTGAGTCTACCTGTAAATGTAAACTCATTTTCCTTTTGAACTTTAATTTTTTCTTCTATTCCCTTCAAACAAAAAAAAGAAAACATATCAGAGCTGATTGAAGAAAATTAATTTGTTTTTTAAACCTAAAAAAAAAACGAAAATTTCCATACAGTTTTCAGAATAGCTTCACAAAAATCAGCGCTTGGTCGTACCTCAGCCTTTCTCTCCAACTCCAAAGAAATGACTGATCGTTCAAAGAGTCTTAAAAAATTTGAGCTGGAATCATTGAGGGTAAAAAATTGATGTTGCAAGTGATATGTGTGCCACGCTATTTTTAGAGACAAATTGTAAAAATCTGTCTTACTTAGGAACAATGTGCTTCTTATGGAGTCGAAAACCACTACTTAGCTTTTATGAATCGAATGCATATAAATCAATTATACCCGTTTATCGCCATCCTCCTAATTATTACCTGTATACATTGCTTATTGTTGGTAACCACACTCAGTTCAGCGGTAAGCAGCATTTTTTTTGTGTTTTTCTATATGTTTGATTATTTAAATGCAAAACAATTTTCTAGGAAAGAGTGTTCATATATAATGATATAGCAGTGTACATCGGAGTTCCTATGCTGGTTATTCTAACTTTATCCTTCAACTTCTGCACGAATCCAGTAAAAGGAAATCCTTGGATATCGTATGTCACAACCACTGTGGTCATCACGCTGCTCGTGGCTATGGGTGAGTGCGAAGCAATGGAAGACTGCGACCGAGGCTTCACTACTAAAATATCATGAGTGTCCTGGACTTGCCTGATGCGCTTTTATATATAAATATTTTAATTTTATATAAATATTTTATTTATTTTTTTGATTTTTCAGACATGTCTCTGCCATTCATTTGTGCACAGTGGTACAACGTCACCAAGCCGATATATTACAGCTTCATAATATATTCAATATACGTCTTCATGCCCGTAGCCAATAACATTTACGCCATCACAATGGCCTTGCTAGTATCAATAAGTTACGTATTATTTTTTAAACTCGTAGTATATCGTTGGAAAAGTGATGGCTCTGCAAATGCAGACCACTCGAAAACCATATCTGAGGCTCTATTCATGGCGGGCATCAATGTACTGGGCCTGTTTGCGCGCCTGTCACGCGAAATAGTTACGCGGATGATATTTCTGGACAAACGGCAATGCATAGAGGAGAAACTTCTGCTTTATGCTGCTAAAGACCAGGAGGTATGTACGTACGTACGTTTTTGTATTTCTTTTTATTTGCGAGTATATTTGGGGAAGAATGAAACGTAAAATCTTTCAGAGAAACCTGCTCTTGAGTATTATTCCAAAACAAATCGCTCATCAAATGGAGGAGGATGTGAAGATGCGCATCGACTTAATGAAATATGCCAGAACTCGTGGAAAAGCAATGAGTATAAGCGAGGAAGTGAGGTTAGTTAATTAACGGTAAATACGTTAGGCTGAAATTTGTAGGTGTCCTGGCGACTTGATGTATTACTCGAAGCACTTTTTGATCCACCCACTTATCTCGATTATTATTAATTTTAATAAATCTGTTGAAATTCATATTCCATTCTCTAGAAAACTGTTTATAGAACCACATGACGATGTCACTATACTCTATGCCGATGTTGTCAACTACACTCACCTAACAACTACTTTGGATGTTCGCACGCTTGTGGGCACCCTAAATGATCTCTATGTCCGGTTCGATGACGCAGCGCAGGTAAGCAGCTCAAATTCGTGGCGTCTACTCCATTTTTACTCTCAAAAGATCTCTCTCTCTCTCTCTCCACCACAGGAATTCAACGTGTTGCGCATACAGTTTTTAGGTGACTGCTATTATTGTGTGGCAAATGTTTCAATACCCAATGAAGAACATGCCAAAGCCTGTGTAAAACTTGGTCTACGGATGATTCAGTCTATACGCGAAGTGAGGTGAATAGCAGTGAATATATGTATTTAAAGCATTGATGGGCAAAGCATTTCTAAATAAATTACCGCAGAGATATCAAGCGACTGGACATCGATATGCGCATTGGCGTACATTCAGGTAGCGTCTTATCGGGCGTCATAGGCGCCAACAAATGGCAGTTTGATATTTACTCCAAAGATGTTGATATAGCCAATCGGTTAGAGAGCACTGGCGTACCTGGACGAGTGCATATAAGCAGAGAAACACTGCAGCAGCTCGACAAAAGATTTGAATATGAGCCGGGAACGCAACGGGCGCGCCTCGATCCGTTACTGCGAAAGTATCAAATTACCACATTTCTAATAACTCCGGTAAGTGTCCGATTGTTGGTATCAGCGCCAATTTATTGAATGTTTAGCTGTACAAACGTAGTTAAATTAAGTTACGTATTTTTTCTTTCCAAAGGAACCAACTGATAGTCAATTGTCGCGCTCATCAATGTATTCAAGGCCTAGAGGCAATGATGAGGCAAGTTGCCGATACTATTTCATAGTTGAGTTATTTGATTTTTACTGTCATCAAATAGGCTGCCGAGGAAATAAGTTCAACTGAAAGAATGAAAACTATGGTGGATAGAGAGATGGGTCGCGAGAGTATTAAGATGCCGATAGAAGGCTTCATTGTACAGTGAGAGAGCATTTACATATACTTATTTCATTTTGGCAATGACACTTTTGTGATTTCACAATTACTAAGTATGCGCGCAAATAGTTGACGAAATTTTTAATTTTCAGCTACAATAGTATCTTCTTTGGCGAGAGAAAACGCCTCACCGCGCTTGAGAGGGAAGTAAAAAATTTTTACTCTAACTTTTCATGGCTTTTCATGTGGTACAAAAACTGGCGCTTGGAGCTCAGCTATATGCAACAAGCCGATATCTTGCTTAAATATAGTGTGCTAGTCGCTTACATTACAACGCTTTGTATGCTAACAATGCTGGCTGTTACCGATCAGTAAGTATGGTGCAATTCTCGCGGTCTTCGATATGAGTATGTACTCTATACATTTGTATGTAATATAAGCGAAATGAGTTAAACACTTTGCTAGGCAAACGCTGTTATTTTGGATTTTGGTTCTGCTCGGGAATATTTTTTTTCTGGCCATTTTGGCTTTGGTCTGGTACAAGAAACTATGGACAAGGCTATTCGGTACAATGTTTCGAGCAAAGCCCAAAGGAAAAATCCACTACTGGTTTTTCAAGTTTTCGGATAAAATTCAACGAAACTACAAATTCCGAATTTGTGTGTATTTAACGATATTGGCAATACAGTTCGGTTTTTTGTTGGAGGAATTGGTATGCAAGCTTGTAATTATTTGAATGATATGTATGTATGTATGTATTTTATGTATTTTGATCCATTGGTGTTTTCATATTTATGAGAAGTTTGAGAACGCAGTTACAACTTTGTCTTAAGTATATAAAAATTGTTGAAAAGAATGCGAGTACGATTAAGATAACGGATACCGTTACTTTTTCGGGTACGAGTACGTTTACGAATTACCATTTCCTTTATAGTTCCGATTACAATTACGGTTGTTATTTTGCTCAAGACTGCGTATGCGATTACAATAAAAAGCTTTCTCAAACCTCTAAGTAATTTTTTTTTTTTTATTTTTGCTGTCGCTCTGCTTCTAATATGCTTTCTTTCAGTTAGATTACGATCGGTTTAAAAGGGAAAATGATGTAATCGATATGCAAGAATACGAGGATGATTTCGATGATACTTGCTTCGATCCCTGGGTTTGTAGTTGTTATGCTATCGTAAAGGAAATGTTTAACTTATATTTTTCAAGTGGCATCCTCAATTTAGGCTATCTCAGAAGCTGTAGTGTTAAACTTGAGCGTGGCTTTTATATTCACTCAAGTTCCGTACGTCATAAAATGTTTTATGGCACTTTGCATACTCTCATTTTACCTAATTATTGCCTTTGTCGTGGATGACTTTTTTTACGAACATAGCATTAGTTCGAATCAGTACTTGTTCCCGGAATATGCACACGTATTACTTTTGCTGGTACATCTCTTAATGTCGCCCGTAATAACTCGGCAATTGGAATTTATTTCGCGAATGGACCACAAGTATGTTCACACAGATACATATACTTATGGTCATAAAAATAGGTATGAAATTCAAAATGATATTGTTTGCAATTTATATTTATGTATTTGGTTTTAATAAATTTAATTTAAAAAATAGTTCGATCTACATAAGGAAACACATAAATAAAAGTTTCAAAGCTTGTACAAGGCTTTCAAAAATTAATCAAACTACAAAAAAATTTCATCCAAATATAAAAGTTTTATATTCATTTATAATATTAAAAAAAAAAACTTTTTGAGTCTGCAGTTTAGCTTTTTTAGAATTTTTTGTTTATAGCGGGCGTTACGCATTTTCTTGCATATAAAAATAGGTTTTGTTCATACGTTATACGGAAAAAGCGCAACACTCTCGACAAAAAAAAAATTAAAAACAACGGTAATTTGCATGACTTGAAACTTGCATTTTATTACGCTAAAAGTTAATAAATGGTTTGAAATTTTAATGAAGTTTTTTTTTAAGTTGGATTAATTTTTGTAAACTGTGTGCGTCTTTGACATTTTTATTTGTGTATTTTCTGTTGTGGATCGAACTATTTTTTAAATGAAAATAGTGGAAACGAAGACTGAAAAGTAAACCGGTTCGGGAAAAATTAAATGAATGATAAGGCTAAATATGCATCTTATGATACATTGCAAACCTTTTTAACAATACGACACTTACGACACCGGTGTGAATACCCCAAATATCAATTTAAATTTTGTATCTATTGCTATGACCATGAGTGTATGTATTTAATCTGACCCGTTGCAGTTGGAAATCTGAGCTGAAGGAACAGAAAGACAACGCCAAATTTACTAAAAAAACTATTTCAATATTAATTGGTAATATTCTGCCATCTCATATAGGTTAGTAGCATTAGAATGAAAACACATCATAGCCTTTGTTGTGCTTCTAATTTATTCAGTTATTTAATAGTGAGTATTTACATGAAGGACCAACTAACAAATGAGCTGTACTACGAACAATACGACAATGTTGCTATTATGTTTGCAACTATACTGAACTTCGATGCCGAACAGGTTGGAATGCGTGTTTTGAATGACATCATTTGTGATTTTGACCGAGTGGTAAGCGTGCCGCAAGTACACACATGTATCCATTCACTATAAGAAGCTAGAAACTTTCATATTTTACAGCTGGGCACATACCAGGGTATCAATAAGATTGAAAAAA